TTTTCAGAAGAAGAAGTCCTTCTTGACTTTGCAACGTTATCACAACGCCCTGTGGCGTAACAGAGACAAATAAATAGAAAATTGAAATCGAGCGCTGAAAAAACGCTCAAAATTTGAAAAGAAACAGTGATGTTTGTACAACTTCAAAAACTTCGGTTGCTGTAAGCAGAGGAAGGGTTTGAGGCAGGTTAAGGATAGTTTATTGAGTTTAACACGTAGAAAAGCTATGAGTATGTAAAAATGTGTCGAAAAGATGTAACTAAGCCATTTCATGTGGCTCTCCAGGCTATTCATCAGCATACCCGAAGGGTTAGGCTATTCACAAGTGGGTTGGGTGGGTGTTAATGGATTGGCTTATCCTGTGGGTAAGCTAATCCACAAACAACTATCATTACCCAGTAGCGCCAACGTCAGAAGGTTTCCCATCCCGCTGATTACGAGTACAATGGTTTCAAAATTGAAATCTGAATATCACAATCTCAACCAGAACTTTGCTCGAGGTAGCTTTTTGTCGGCTGATTAGTATTTGACAATCTCTGAGAGAGCATCTGACGTGAACGGTGATAAGTGAGGTATTTATTGTGCCATCAATTATGGCATGTCATGCAAGTTATCGGATTGCCGTTATCAGCATTCCTGATAAAACAAACAAATCAGTTTTTCGCTCCATTTGCTGCGCATTATTCTGAAAGTGCAGTCGTAATGCAGAATATACTACCTATCCTTCGGAGTGAAATTGTAATCAGCAATAAGGAATATGTTGAATAACACATTTGCTTGGAAAAGGCGTTATTTGAGATTAACAGCTCATAGTGCAAGCTATAGCCTGCACTTTGCGCATGGAAAATTATTGCCGCATCTACCCACCAAGTCAATGGGAAATTCATTGCAAATCACGAATACTTTTGTCCTATCAAAGCTATTTAGACGCTAGCAATTTCTGCCTTGAACAGGCTTTCATGCGACAGCCCCTTGCCACAGAGCTCGGCACGAGCTGGCACCAGGGAAATTTCAAAACGAAGTCCCGTTTGATCTCAAAAATTTCGTACGAAGTCCCCTTTGACTTGTTTGAAGACCCGTCAATATTTTTAGATTATGCAAAAGTATGTAGTAGGGTTTTCGTGCATGCTGATTTCATGGAACAACTTTTCACAGCTTTCTGAGCTTTTTAGATGGTTGAATCACATCTTGAGAACCAGAAAAAGCCGATTTTTCGACTGCGAAGCAGACCAAGCAATTTTCAGATGGCTATAAAACGCTGAAAAGAAAACATTATGAAAATGTTTCTTCTCTGTATGTAAACTTTTACAGTGTAGATACATCTTACGTAAAAAAGTATGAAAACTTATGTGAGCAAAGTGCCGGTGCCAGCTCAGCTGGCACCCAGCTGGCACGGTGCCAGCTAATTCAGAAAAAAGTTCAGCACAGCTTTCATTCACATAAGTTTTCATAAACTTTTGGGCCATAGTTCGGGTCCCCCAACGCGCATGCACACACCAAATTTGGTGTCATACTATTGCGTTTTGGCTGAAACAACGCCTTTGTTTGTTAGATGGACAGCATGCCGGCAGCATTCTTGCGGCTCTTCTTCGCCCCGGACCCCGGAAAAACGAAATCCCCTTTGCTTTCTGCAAAACGATATCCAGTTTGATCCGGTGCCAGCTGTGCCGATTCCTGCCTTGCCACCATCTTTTGTTCCATCTCAAAATTAAGTATAGCTTGCCTGGGACTTTCCAGATTTTAACGAGGAAAGATGAAGAAAAGATTCAAAGATTGCGGAAGGATTCAATGTCTTGCGATTATAATAACTTCATTATGGATTATAAGACTGAGAGATCAAACGAACGATCACAAGGCCACAGAAGGGCTAAGAGGAAGTGGTACCTTGCAGGTATCATCGCTACACCAGCTATAAGTGCCTTTTTTCATCTTTTTCTCAAGTTGGACATCCAAAGTGAAATTTGGAGTAACTTGGTCTACCCGCAATATAATTTATTAGGTTCGTATATGAGTGCATAATGTAACTTTTTTATTACTTTTAAATTTTTGGAAGTGGCACGTTCATTCTTTGGTATAATGTAAATCACGTGAGATGCGAATGCAGCCATTTCTGCTATCTATCATCGCATATGAGAGTTACGGTAAGGCAATATTAGAAAAAGGGAAAACAAACTGTCATAGACTCAGATAAATCTAAGGAAAAGGACATGCTGATCACGTAACTGATGTTCATTCCGCATGGTATATTTTCTCGCGCAAGAGTTGAGTTACGAGAAACTAGCGTGATAATCTTTATCCTGACAAAAGTTAAGAACGAGTTTTGTGTTCAGCATCAAAACACCCCACTATGCAGATTTCCTCCAAAATCTGACAGCTCCGACTTATTGGCATTAAAGGATTCCCGGAGCGCTGACGCATTGACGTTCGACTTCTCAAGGGCGTAGATCCCGAATTCTCTTTAACTTTTCTTCCAATTTGTGACAACATTTTGCCGTTCCCTTTGATCTATCTGTAATGTGTACCGGCTTCATACTTGCTCAAGATCGTGAAGTCTCAAATTTGACTGCCCTTAAATGTGTGGATTCCCATTATATTATCAAAAATCAAACACTTACGCAGGTAACTATTTTAGGACACTTCTTGATTTATACAGGGTGTCCTAAAAAAATGTGAACACCGTTTGATTGTTAATAACTCTCTTGCTTTCATGTCTTTTGCCGAGCTTGAGGCACCACTCTACAGAGCGAGGTTCAACTTAGATCTACGGTAGGGAGCGAATCGTCGATCGCTCCTCTACTGTAGGATTACGGTAGGAACTTAGACAAGGATTTTAGGCCATTGTATGCCATATTCTCCTCGGAACAAAGCCAAACAGGCCAGAAACTCTTATACTATGGTAATGGAATCCGCTGATTTCGAATATGAAATTTCCACTTTACTGTGATGCTTCTTTCCAAGGTTATTCCAGGTAAATCGTAATAACTTGATTCCCACCATTTGTCAGAAAGGTGATTACACCGTCAAAAAAGCTAAAAATAGTTATAAAAAGTTGTGTAATGGAATCAGCGTGCGCGAAAACCCTAGTACACGATTTTGCAGATTTTTTGAAAAAAATTTTGTCAAATGGCATATTTCACAATGGATCTACATGCTGGAAGTTTATACCGTAATCTCACAGTAACGAACACCAACAGGTGATTCGTTCCGTACTACAAATCTAAGCTGAACCTCGCTCTACAGAATGGTGCCTCAAGCTCAGCGAAAGACATGAAAGCAACGGAGTTATAAACGATCAAACACTGTTCACATTTTTTTGGGACACCCTGTATAATCCAAAATTTTGCAACTCATTGAAGAGTTGATTTTCTTTTTTTACGAACCGCTCCTATGTTGCTTATCAGAGCACTTTTAGGTGCAAAACAAAACGTACAAAAAACCAAAGATTATAACTATTGCTGAATCTCCTATGTTCCACGCAGTTTTCAAAAGGCTGTTAATCTCAAGAGAAGCTAGGCTACTCTACAGGGGAACATTACATGCTAATGGTAGATCTATAGAAAGTTTTTGACAGGATGTAATATAAAAAAATTGTCTCTCTCCAAGTTTATGGTTAGCTCTTCTAGTCGAGCTTTTGTTTTTTTCCAATTTACACTTGAGAAACTCTTTCTTTTTCTTCAATGTTCTCAATTGAGCTTTGCAGTAGTACTATAGTTTTTTCCCTACCTTTCTTAGATCGCCCTTCTGAAGGCTTTTTCCTAATTGGTTTTTGACTAACAATAAGATATACAGTCAAATCATTTTATATGATTATGTGCGTCCTTGCACATACTGCTCATTGGCGTTCACATCCTGCATTCTTAGTGCAGACAACTCCTTCAGGTAAGTTTTTTCGATGTGTTTTTGATGTATTCTTGCTTTAGGTATTAGTCACTTTAGAATGATGTAAGCAATAAAATTTGGTCGGTCCCTTGCGTTTTTTCGTTCGCAAATACAGCATGAGGAGGCAAAGATGGACGTTGTGTGCAGTGAACACGTGATCAAATGAAATGGTTCGACTGTATCTGACTAGCTATAAAATAAACAAATATCAAAAGCCGCTATAGCTGAAAACTTTGTGCTCAGAAAGGGTTTTCAGCGCATACTGTCGTATTTGTCTTCGAAGCTTTTAATAAAGTATTGGTATTTCATATATTATTCTGAATGCTAGCTAATTCGTTTTATCCCATCGCATTCATTTTGTAAAAATTTTTTTCTATTATTAGCTAAGTCCAAGTACGCCGCTATGTCACTGCTTACATTCCCTGCTTTCCTGTTTTTGAAAGCTGTCACTTTATCACCGATTGATAATCCGATTTCTTTGCCTAAATAGAGAAAAATACGGCCCGCTTGAAAGCCCCTATTCGTGCTTCTCAGTCTGTTAAGCGCACGTTAACATATATTAAGTTCCTGAATTGTCTGGTTCAAACGGTCACACCTTTTTTATGAAGCAGGACGTGTTCTTTCTCGAAACTCGTGGAAGATATGCAGCGTATCCTACTCATTATTTTGTAGCACCTTAGCAGTCCCCGGAATCCCATTCGGTCAACCACGGTGCGGAAATTTTTTCTTTTGTAAGACTAATTTAAATCCACAAAATTATAAGAAGTTCTAGTTATTCAAAAGCAGAAGCAAGTCACTTGCACATCTTTATAGCTCATGTAAGTAAATTCAAAAATTTCGTGGCGCATTCTCTGAAGGGGGCTCTTCCTCTTCCCTCCCATCGGCTCGCCACTACCACTTATGTATGCATGTTTCAGTCATTTTGGTAGTCAAAATAAAGTAGCATCTGAAGGGCACACCGCAAATTCCGTTCTTGAAACTGCGTTATCCAACAACATCATGATATTCTTCTTCTAAGCGAAAACGCTATTTTTAGCCACGTAATCTTTGGAACATTAAAACATTATTTATAGCCACGTAATCAAGCAATCCTTTGGAACAGTATTAGTCGTCAAGCACTTTGAAAGCATTCTTTATTCGTGAAAAAGAGTACATGTTTCAAGAGAGAGTAGAATTGAAATACTGCACTTTTGCGAAGTTGGCTGTTGGTTGTACCCTGACTCGGATCTAGTTCGGTGGGGGACCGAAGCACATTGCTTGATGGGCTCTGAATGCAACGTTGAAACGTAGACGAAAACTGGATGAGCCGTAAACCTTATTAGTTCAATTCAAATATCAATTCAAGCTGAATGGAATACTCTTGTACTCTACTGCTTGAGCGCTGCAGTGGCACTTTCAAACATGCGAATGTTTCTACGCAATTGAAAGTCATACGAAAATTATATTTTGAACAAAGCATAGCTTTCTAATCTTCTATCAAGCTCACCCTTGTCCGCAATCATCAACCATCCATTGCCCGTCTGCAATACGCAAATGAGCGCAATATTTCTCAGGATTCATACCTAAACTACTTTTTATTTGATAGAAGCTTGTGCAAAAGGGCTCGCTTGCCTTTTGCAAAGTTTCTGTAATCGAACGGAGTCTTGTCTGTCCACGTCCAGTCAACATAACCTAATCTAGTCGCTCCAATCCAAAATGATCCATAGTCCTTATCGAAGAAAGCATGAGCCAGCTCTTAATTTCAACCTCGAGAAAAAATCAAAATCTGTTCAACATAGATTCATTACGTTGTGCATATATATTGAGCTGCTGGTCATGAATGGAAATCAGCTCATAGCCAAATTTCTCTCGGCATGCTACGCTGGCTTCAGCAAATGAAAGAGCTTCGTGAACGAATGCGTAACACCTGAAAGCAAATTTTCAAGCTCTGCGACCATGAATTATACTGTAGTACTCACTTTTTGGTTACTTCGTCATACACATGGCCCTTAGGGCAAGGATCATCAGCTTGCGAAAGAGCTACCAAAGCCAACAATAAGATCCTTTCCAGCATTCTGAAAAATTCATGTTGAAGTTTGTGCATCAAATTCAATCAACTCCGGAAGATCAAACATTGCCTCCAAGCTCAAAAAAAAAACAAATCTAAGCTCATGAAATTGAAAGGAGATAAACGCTAAAGAATTCATTTATTTTTATGGAGCTTGACTGTTTGTCAGGTTAACGCTACTACAGCCGAAGGTGCAGTACGTCAGCCTATAAGCTTTGATTTATCACCAATTACAAAAAGGAGGAGATGAATTTTCATGGATCGCTTAATGGGCAGCATTTCGCAGAAGGCCTGAAACTAGCAGTGCAGAAGAATGAATTAGGCGCTTATCACAGAGTCTGCCGGTATCTATATTGCTGGTGAAAAGTCAAAACCTGTACTTATAATAACGGGCTAAGGGTTGTTTACGTTTCTCTGTGTGTGTTTGTGTGTGAATCTCTGTCTGTCACGAAATTCGTAAAGCGAGTTCCAGCAAAGTTCTTGAGCTTGAATTTTGGTTGTAGCACCCTATCAGCATTTAGGTGAGATATGCAAAATCACAAGCCGATCAGATAAATGGAACCTGTGAAATTGTGCGCCAAACGGATCCACGCGACATTTCGCGCGCCGAAGTGGGCCTGTAATTTGACTTTTCCAAAGTCACGATTTCGTTTAGCAAGCAAATCCGCAAACCATGGACTCCAGCCCGAAAAGTGAGCAAAAAGTTTACTTTACGCAAGATTGGCGCCAAAAAGGAATAACTGTGTAGATGATCGAAAAGGGTTTTACTTGAGAATGTGAGAAATTTTTGCGCAGAAATGTAATTCATGGTTGTCATCATCTTTATGTCTACTATCAAGACATTATAACCCCAGTAACTGATTCAGAATCGCTTTTAAACTTTGGGAGAATACTTTCTTTCTCTCAAAGTCACCGATCTGACATGAAAAGCTTTCAGAATGAGTAGTTGTTTACAATTCATTCGTGATGATCGGCATCGCGAGGTAAGTTTCAAAGCCATTATTTTGGAACTACGAGGAAGGAATGTAGATAGTGGAGCCACGACCCTCTGCGAAGCAGAGGTGACGCACTGGTTCTGTATAAAGGATTTGACTTCTTCACCAGAGCGTTTCATTTTGGGGCTCGTGAAATAAAAGAGGTAATACGAGAGAATGCGGAGCTAAGACTGCAGACCTTTTATAGAGTACGGTATTGTTGTCGGTTGTAATCTGCCAATAGAATACTTTGATAAGGCTTAAGATTGATAAAAAAAAGCTTTGGAATCTTTTCTACTGTCAAGAAGACAATTTTCCGGGTAATAAGGGCGTTTCTTGCTGCCGTTATCGCTGTATTTCGCATGTTTACCAACAGAGGTAAATGGACGGACGATAGACGGACTAAACGGTAGGTCTCACCGCACGATTACAGTCTGCCCCAATCGAGATCAGGCCGAACCGTCGGCTGAATTTGCGCGCTCGCAGCGCTAGGGGTCTGCGCTGATATGCGCGCTGTCGCAGAGAGCGATGAGATTGAGGAGGGAGCAGACTAGCTAGCCGCAGAAGTGGCGCGAAACCCTCGCGGCGCGGACTCCCGCCATGCCAATTTTGGCCTGGTCAGGATTGGGGCAAACTGTAAACTTACCTGCTCAGTATGACAAGCTTCGCTGAAATAATGGCTCTTGCTCTTTCTATCTCTAGTACTCAAGAGAAACACTGCAACAAAGGAAGGCACCACCTAGACCTAATCAACCTACCAAGTGTTACTCACGTAGGCAGAATCAGTTCAAGTTGCGAGTTTTGAATATGTTATTTCCCTAGCTTTGAAGCATTATTCTGAAAAAAAGTTTTGGAGTTTTCTCTTCTGTGCAAAAATTGCATGCTTTTTGACTTACTGACTTTATGGTACCAACATTCAGGTAGTGATGCACTTAATGATTCCTATCAGCACCAAAAGACTTGATGATGTTGTTTTATTGTCTCAGCATCATTCACCTCACAACTGTTCTTCCTCTTCTTCATCTCCTTCTATTTAGGCAGATTTCTACTCTACATGCATATGTATGCAAAAGTGCAACTGTTTTCGCTTTTTTGGATGCACTGGATCTGATGAATAGCGATTCAGCCCAGAAATGGCAAATCCGACAAAGTTTTCACCAACTGCATGCTTAACAGTACTACTGCAATATCCTGGATACACCGAAGCATTACGAAGAAAAAAACAGAGATGCAAAGAAAAGAATCAATCTTATGTTGACAAGTGGCAATCTTATGTTCATTGTCGCTTAGGTAGACTGTAAGTGCACAAATCATCCTTCTCGTTTTGTAGCTGTATCTGTATTTATCGAAGCTTGGGCAGTTTTTTAGATTACATTTGTAATGTGTATAATGACTGCAACAAAGCGCTGATATACATGTGAAATGTGTTGAGTTAGCGAGATTTGTCAAAATTTCTTTTGTTTTAATGCTGGAAAATCTCGGATTTTCTTGGGCTTGAACATTCTTCATAGTGTAGAAGGCGGAAGAATATTCATCTGCATGACGGATGCTGCAAGTACGTAAAAGCAGCAAGTTTTTACGACGCTTCTGTAAGCATACCTCAATACTCCTTTTTCTTATAATTCCTCTGTATCGTCTATGTATTTCCTTTTCTATACAATTTTTGGATTTTCTACTTTCTCCAATCTGATGCTTTTAGCGTTTCAAAAAGGGTATAGAAAATGACAGAGAAATTGGAATTCTAATCATCCATTTGGAGAGCACCTTTAGAAAATGATGCCGAAAGCTTGAGAGCGATTTTTAGAATTAAAAAATGCTTTCCTAATACCAATAAAACCAAAATGGTACATACACCTTCAAATTCTTGCACAAATGTGCACATGATTGCTCCATCTCTTCATGTTCTCAGACGCTAAGGACTATGCCCCTCTGCCTAAACTTTTTCCGATCTCTTGCTTATCATCTAAACGGATGCCTATCGAAGAAGTGGCCTCAAAGCGGACTTTTGGCCTAAAATAATTGTTTTAATAAAAGAATCAGAAACGTTAACTGAAAGGATGCAACCGTATTGCAAAAACGCTCAGAAAGCGGACTTCCCGCCATAAAATGACGAACGCACCAAAGTATGACGTGCTAGTGGTTCGACCTTTGAACTCCGTCAACATGCTTTTATGATATTTTAACAAGCTACTAGAGTTTTAAGAGCAAAATGTATGAGTGTAGCAGAAGTTGGTTATCAATCTAAGATCTATATGTCTTTTAATTCATTTATTTTTTTAAAAAACTGGGATTACTTTCCATAGGCAAGAAATTGTACTAATTTGTGGGAGTTCACCAGTACGCAGAATAGTTTAGATCTTAACAAATTGTTTCACATGGAATGGTGAAGCACGTTATTCGTCCTCCCTTCAAAGCCGTATGCGCCTTACGTATTAGCTCGGATCGAAGTTCGTGCCGTTTTTCAGACCTAGGCTTAAATTAGTGATAATCATAATAGAGAGATGCTAAACAGTACTTCAATGCATAACTTCTTCCTCCTTTCCAGCAGTGAAGTTTTCTTTCAAAGTCCTTCGATGATCGTTCGTTTGAATGCAGAGTAATCTCCAACCAGAGGTTTTATCTACTACTGGCTTACCCGGCTCCTCCGTATCCGGACCAAACTTGGCACACATACACTTCGGGCCCCGGCGGCTGTCACAGTCCACTTTTCGTTATCGATCGATGTCGATTTTACCGATTTTTATCGATTTTTTGGCAGAGCTCACCTACAGGGCTAGGAGTTGGCACAGGGGGAAGTGAGCATGGGGATTCCGAATACAATATTAGTTTTCAGAATTATCGATTGCTTTTATTGATTTTATCGATTTTTTGTAAATTTTGACATGCGAGGCTGGGATTTTGCACAGAGGGTAATCGAGCATGCAGATTACGAATACAATATTAGTTTTCAAGATCGTCCATTACTTTTATCGATTTTATCGATTTTTTGAAAATTTGAGCTAGGGGGCTGGAATTTGGCACAGGGGTGTTCGAGCATGCTGATCACCCCCCTTGGGGTGATCAGCATGCTCGAAATCGATAAAAGTAATCGATAATCCTGAAAACCAATATTGTATTCGGAATCCCCATGCTCGATTACCCCCCTGTGCGAACTCCCAGCCCCGTAGCTCAAACTTTGCAAAAAAATCGATAAAATCGATAAAAGTAATCGATAATCCTGAAAACCAATATTGTATTCGGAATCCCCATGCTCGATTACCCCCCTGTGCCAACTCCCAGCCCCGTAGCTCAAACTTTGCAAAAAAATCGATAAAATCGATAAAAGTAACCGATAATCCTAAAAACCAATATTGTATTCGGAATCCCCATGCTCGATTACCCCCCTGTGCCAACTCCCAGCCCCGTAGGTGAACTCAGCAAAAAAATCGATAAAAATCGATAAAATCGATATCGATCGATGACGAAAAGTAGCCTATGACACCCGCCGGGGCCCCGTAGTGTATGTGTGCCAAGTTTGGTCCGGATCGGTTCAGAAATAAAATTTTCTATTCGGAACATACGTACAGACATACATACATACATAGACAGACAGACAGACAGACAGACATACATACAAACAGACATTCAGCTTTATATATAAGATAGTTTGGGCTGTTTTTCAAAATTTCAATGCAAGTCTTTGCAGGACAACTGCTGGATAGAGTGAACGAATTGCGACTCAATATATTATTTGGGTCTCATCAACTGGTTTTTCAGTATCTTTTAAAATGATTTCCAAGGATCTTCACTTTTGCGAAGGAGTCAAATACACGAGTGAAATATTGCGAATTATCCGTATACAGCATGAGACGCGTTTGAGAATAAAAATTGTGATGATTTTATCTTTGAAGATTTTATAAATTATGAGCGAAAGAAGCTTTTCAGATTGAAAAAAAGCTACATGGCGCCCTACATAGTTGCTCGCTAGGTTTTGTTCTATGCCGTTTGGGATTCCTAAATACGAGATTTGGTAACATAAAAACTGATCCCGAAGATTTTGGAAAGCCAATAGATGCCGGAACCATGTAATGTATTGCACTTAGTTTATTCCACCCAACTATCATTAAAGT